TTAAAGTAATTTATCAAAATAATGACTAAGTAAGTAGATGGTAAAAGAAGAACAAGAGATGCATAAAGGAAAGAGAGAGAAAGCTTACAAATCAAGGTATTTTTGTAATGATCTAAGGGATGCTTGTGGTCTATTACTTTATAGTGAGTGATATAGCTTATTGATAAAGGGCAATTGAACATATTTTTAGCTCTTCAGGATATCTATCATTCATTCTTGTACCTGGAACATCACTCAATGTCACAGTTTAATGAGAGAACTTGATTCCAGCCCAATCTAAAAATTAATTCCCACTCTGTCATTTACCAGTGGACAAATTTGTTAAATCCCTAAGCCTCAACTTCTTTTTCTGAAAAAGTAAGAACAATAAGTTACCTATTACATAGGATTGAAAGGCTACATGAAGTGAAATGGCACCTGTAGAGAATCTAGCACAGTATATAAATCTTAGTAAGTACTCAATAAAGTTGACCAACAACAAGCAAACAAAAAGTACCATGTTAGATCATGTTGACTATCAGAAATAAATGTCATATAATTCAACATGGTAGCAGTGAAAGATCCACCTGTGGCTCTCGTTTTTTTTAGTGGTGGTGGTCATGGGGCTTGAACTCAGGGCCTGGGTGCTGTCCCTGAGCTCTTTCATTCAAGGTTAGCTCTCTACCACTTTGAGCCACAGCACCACTTCCAGTTTTCTGGTGGTTAATTAGAGATAAGAGTCTCACAGGTACTTTCTTGCCTGGGCTGGCTTTGAACCAAGATCCTCAGATCTCAGCCTCCTGAGTAGCTAGGATTACAGGCGTGAGCCACCAGTGCCTGTCTTATCTCTCCTTTCTAAAGTCTGTTGTCTAAAAACATTCAAAGGAGTTTCATCTAGAAACTACAGTAGAGGCTCATTAAACATATATAACTATTGTCCAAGAACATCTTACAAGGACAGTTATTGGAACATGTTCTTTGAACAGGTATCAACAGATCTTCCCTGACACTGCTAGTGTCAGTATGTGAATCACCAGAAGCCACAAAGCCTCCACTCCGAGCAGAGCTTTTGCTCTGTGAATGACTACAACTTCTTCCTTCCTTCACTGCTCATCTCAATAACCAAAAGTCCCAAATTAAGACTATATTCTCCTCTTCAGATGAGCCCAAATTTATGCTAATGGTTTTACCAGGTAGGTCAATGAGACCATGAAAACACGCCTAAAGTCAAGATCTTTACACAGACTAACAGTTAGCTGTGACAAGTAGGTTGTAAGTAGATGAAAGAGTGGTTATTTTTCACTCTAAGGAGGGTTTCTGAAGAAAAAGGGGATGAAGGCAACTAGTAATGGCACTAAATATGACAGATGATCTCTTCCAGAAAATATTAGATGGACATGCTGTGTCTCAGGAAAAAGCATAAAGGAACTGATGAATCTAAATACTTTGAGAAACTAGTATGTGCCAGGCATCCTAGTAGATTCTTTCATGGATGTTATTTAATTTGTACATCACAATCATCTTATAAAGTAGTATTCATCTGAGCAAATGGGGACTTAAAAGAGGGAAGTGACCCTGCAAGATTAATTTCACCATAGCCTGCTTCCCTGGAAGCATTATTCTCCCCCAAACTTCAGTTGTTTATAGTGTCATGGCTGTGTATATGACACACACACACACCTAAAATCTGGTTGTGTAACCAAAGAGAAAAGTTTAAATGACTTAGCCAGAAAGTAACCTAGACTCTCATTCCTTTCCTTGCCGTTATTTGACAAACTAAAGTTTCTTACATTTTTCTCACTGTCATTAAATGTTGTTTATAACTCTATACTAGGAGCAAGTGACAAACTTGGGGATAGGGGAGGGTTGTTTACAAAGGCGTTAAAAGAGAATCATGGCTGGCGGCCTTACCTCATTGATCTCATAGAGTAGAAGACATCGCTTTTATCCTGGCTGCATATGGCACCTTATGTGTTTATTGACCTTTTTAATTGGCCCACTTCTGCAACCTTGGATCAAATCAGGTACTTCCTTTGGAAGGGACTAAGGCAACCCGACACTGACTCTGTGAAACTATGACACTTGTTCACACTTCTATGGCCATTGGCCAGCCAGCCAACTGGTGCAGCGATTATATGAAGTACAGTGAACTTGTGGAACGTTGGTCTTGGTTGCATGATGGGGACACTTTCAAGAGATGATAAACTATGTTTCCAAAGACATTTGTTTAAAAAAAATAAAAGAAGTACAGAGAAGATGTTCTGGGAATTTTTCTCTACCCTATACCTAACTTAGAAGAAACTGGCTGCTACATTAGCTGTTTACTTTGGAATAGTAATAAGGGAGGAGATGTTTCAAATTAAGATGTTAGACTTGGGGACTTTCAGGAGTTGTTTTCCCATTGAGTAATAGCCCATCTATGGCCTAAATCAACACATCTAAAACTTTTTTTTAATTTAAGTGCTCTAATTATTATGAGACAGTTGGCATTCCCAAGGACTTAATGATCAGGCATAAGAAAACTGTTTCTTATGTTTTTTATCCCTCCAAAATTCGTGACAATTTTTCCTCCTACTTTACACAAATTCCATGATGTAATTGATCCAAATTTCTCAAGTTAAATTTAATCCTTAAATTTAATCCTTAAAGACACTGTGCCATGTTCATCCTAGAACCTTACTTTCTCCCCAAGATACAGCTTTCTGCCCTTAGATCTACCCTTAGTTTAAAAAGCATCCACAGATCCAAATAACCACTATCACCTTGAGATTATAAAGAATGGAGTCATCATCAATGCTTGTAGCTATTTGTTTCCATCATGTCCACATTCTGTCAACCCATGGATGTATCTGAGCCTTCCAGATCATCTTCCAAAAATTGCATCTAGCTAGTATCCTTACTGCAATGGCAAAAGTACTTTGTGAAATACTCCATAACTGACATAGGTCCCAGACATATATCTTCTTTACTGTGTTAGCATGTAGTGGGAGAAGATCACAAGATGATACGTAAAAAGAAATTAAGATGGTAGTTATAGGCTGATACTTAAATGATCATGACAGATTTGTTTGCAATACCCTGAATTGCACAGCATTTCTTCATGGTTGATTTCTACTCTTTTCTAGACCTTATCATAAAACGGTAGTTATGTACTCTACTGAGACACAATTCCTGTGAGAAGAGTAGATAGATTTATTCCTAGGGGGGAAAAGTGGACTTTCTGATCCTAACAAGGCTGAAAAGAACATGAAAAGAAGGCATCAGTGGGATTTTTTTTTAATCTCTAGAGTCCTTATAACTGAGTGATTCATTTTGCGTTGACTATATCTAGGCTTGGTTCCATCTCAAGCTACTGTCCTTGTTTTGGGATTAAATCCTTTGCCACCAGAAGACAAGAGCGTAAAGCTGTAGCCACCTAATGAAAACTCTTGGGGCAACAAAGAAGACTATCTCAGAGAAGATTCTTCCTTCTCTGTTTTTATTCTATGTCTTATGAAGGAAAAATGAAGAGTCAGGCTCACCCTGCCTCACCTCTTTCCTCTCCCTCCCCTCCTCCTGTTCCCTAAGGAGGGAGGGGGAATGATACTTGCTGCATTTGGCAGGACAGCACTTAATAGGCCAGTCTTGACTGTACCCCAAGTCTTAATTATGATTATGTATCTTAGGTCTGGAATACTGTTCTCTAACACTTTTTGTCTGAGAACTTAGGTGTTTTTTTATCCAGTAGACCCCCTAGAGTTCACCATCTAGTCTATTCATAACAAAGAGACAGGAAAATTATACGTGTAGAGCAAGGCAGTATAAATATAACCTGAGCTTAAACCAAAGTGTTCTGCATCACACTGTTCAAATCCTGACTCTTTCACTTTCTGGTTATGTGATCGCAGAGGCTTTTTTTCTCCCTGGGGCTTGAACTACTTTTGCTCAAGGCTAGCACTCTACCACTTGAGTATGTGGTACTGAAGAACTGAAGCCAGGACTGCATGCATGCTAGGCAAGCACTCTATCACTTAGCTACATTCCCAGCCCCTGCAGAGACTTTCCAAATCTCTGGAAGCTGATTTGTCTTCATCTGTTAAGCAGGGTGAATGATTGCACATCCCTACCAAAGTGGTTTTGGTATGGCGATGTTCTTTCTTTTCCATTTTTATTTGTATCTATTAGTTGTACAAGCGGTTTCATTGTGATATTTACCTGTATAGTGCTCCAGTCAAATATGTGCCCTTTACTATTCCACTAAATAATTTTATTGATTAGATGAGCTAATACATTGTGAATCATGTTTTCTGTATGCCCAGTACTTAACACAAAAGATGATAATTTGGCATGAGAATAATACCCTGTCCTCAGCAACTTAGCCCCTATCTTTGGAGAACCAAAATGTAACTGGTAACAAAACATGCTGATCCCAAGAAAGATGCCATGAATTCTAAAATAATATTGAGCAGCATAGAATTTCAGACAAAAAAAAAAGAGAGGTTTAAGCTTGTGTGGCTTAAGATCTTAAGAAAGAACATACCCTAGAATTTGAAAAGTGGGTTTGGTTTTATGGTAGGCAAAAGATAGGAGACATTATTTCTAATTGGAAGAAGAATACAAGTATAAGAAGCAGGCTGGGAATGTGGCTTAGTGGTAGAGTGCTTGCCTAGCATGCATGAAGCCCTGGGTTCCATTCCTCAGTACCACCTAAACAGAAAAGGCCAGAAGTGGCTCAGTGGTAGAGCACTTGCCTTGCATGCCTGAGGCCCTGGGTTCGATTCCTCAGCACCACATAAGCAAAAAAGAAAAAAGCCAGAAGTGGCACTGTGGCTCAAGTGGTAGAGCGCTAGCCTTGAGTGAAGAGCTGAGGGACAGTGCCCAGGCCCAGAGTTCAGGGCCTACAACCGGACCCAAAAAAAAAAAAAAAAAAAGAACTTGTATAAAATGAAGAGATGCTTATCATTGCTGAGGTAGCTCAGAATGTGCTCAAACATTGGAGACACTGGGAAAGTACCATTTACTAAGTGAGATGCTGTGACACTCACATTGTCTTTTCTTTTCATAGGTCCAGTACACTACTTATGGAAGGAATAAATAAAACTGCCAAGATACAATTCTTCTTCCGCCCATTCTCGCCCAGCCCTGAGATCCAGTTGGTGATTTTTGTGGCCTTTTTGGCGATGTACCTGACCAGCCTCGGTGGAAATGCCACAATTGCTGCCATTGTCCACATGAACTACTCCCTCCACACCCCCATGTACTTTTTCTTAGCAAACCTGGCCATTCTGGAAATCTTCTATACATCTTCCATTGCTCCACTGGCCCTGGCCAATCTTCTTTCGATGGGAAAAACTCCCGTTACTATCACAGGTTGTGGCACCCAGATGTTTTTCTTCGTCTTCTTGGGTGGGGCTGATTGTGTCCTGCTGGCAGTCATGGCTTACGACCGGTTTGTAGCAATCTGCTACCCTCTGAGATACACCCTCATCATGAGCTGGTCCCTGTGTGTGAAGCTGTCGGTAGGGTCACTGGTGCTGGGCTTCCTGCTGTCGCTACCACTGACCATTTTAATCTTCAATCTCCCATTCTGCCACAACAACGAGATCTACCACTTCTACTGCGACATGCCCGCGGTCATGCGGCTGGCCTGTGCGGACACACGGGTTCACAAGATGGCTTTGTATGTCATCAGCTTCATTGTCCTGAGCATCCCACTCTCGCTCATCTCCATCTCCTATGTCTTCATCATCGCGGCCATTGTACGGATGCGGTCAGCAGAAGGACGCCACCGGGCTTTCTCCACCTGCTCCTCTCACTTCCTAGTGGTCCTGCTGCAGTACGGCTGTACCAGCTTCATCTATTTATCTCCCAGTTCCCGCTACTCTCCCGAGATGGGCAGGATGGTATCTGTGGTCTACACTTTCATCACTCCCATTTTAAACCCCCTGATCTATAGTATGAGAAACAAGGAACTGAAAGATGCTCTAAAGAAGGCACTGAGAAAGTTCTAGGCAGGATGCTTCCGTGATGTATTTAAATCTGGGCACTTCTGAGTAAAATGTAATGATGTCAATTACCCTGGGGCCAGGCATGATGGTGCATACCTGTAATCCCAGCATTCAGAAGCCGGAAGTAAGAGGTTCATGAATTCAAGGCCAGCCTGGGCTACTTGGTGAGATTTAAATACATTATTATTGTTGTTGTTGTTGTTGTTGTTTGACATGCATAAGCCAGGAATGTCCTTAAAAAGCTATGTGGCCTGATGTTGAGAGACTTCCAGAAGAAATTAATACTAAAAGCTATCTCACATAAGAAAAGATAATCCTGGGGATGAGTGAAGAAAGGCAAGTCATAATTTATTGGGCAACTACAAAATACGAGTACTTTTTATGGATTATCTACTTAATGCAAAATAGCATCATATTAAATTTTCAGAAAACTCAAGTGGCTAACATGGACATATCCAGGATGAGGATACCACATATTTAGAAATCTAAAGTCTGATCTCCCTTCACACAATTCCTTCCTCCTGATTCAGGGCTTGTTCTGCAATGGGAGTGTATGTAACTACGGGCAAGTCTCTTCATCTCTCTGGGATCCAGAGTTCTTATTTCTGAAAAAGCAGGGCTGAATTAGAGATTCCAATGTTCTTGCAGAGATCATATATTATGTTCTGAATATTGGCCAACTCCAACCTGTGGAAAATAGTAGTAGAAGTAGTAGTAGAATAAAAATAAAATAGACTTTAACAAGTCGTTATGTCGAAAACGAACTTTACAACTTTGGTGGGGGGAAGGGGGAGCGGGGAGGATTGGCTGGGAGGGGGGACAGGGGGAGGATGGGAAGGGATGGGAAGGGGAAACAAAGGAGGAGGCTACAATGCTTAATAAGAAATATACTCATTATCTTGCCCATGTAATTGTAACCCCTCTGTACAGTATTTTCACAATAAAATAAAATAAAATAGACTTTCCAGTTAGCAATATAAAAATCAGCTGGTTTTTATATTTTTTTGTTTTGTTAACAGAAATGATAGGGGTTGTAACTATTAAACAGCAATATCCTAGATAAAAATAGGTCTAAAAATCTTCAACAAAAGAGTAATGAACTTAACTAAATAGAATAGAAAGCATAAAGTGGAATTTATCTCTAGGATGCTAATATGATTAAATATACAGAAATGATATAATATCACATATCACATTCACAGAATCAAGAACTAAAACTATGTGATATCACAATAGAAAATTACAAGAACATCATTTGACAAACTTCATCATCATCTCATGAACTAAAAAAACAATTATTAGCAAACTAGGAGTAAAAGGGAATTACACAATAAAGTCCAATGTATTAGAATACAAAGCCTAAAAAGAAATCACAGCATATTTGGTCAACTAATTTTTGAAAGTACCATAATGATTATATAATGGGGGTAAAAGTATCTCCTCAACAAATGCTTTTTTTTCTTTTTTTATTATTATTGTGAAAATTCCATACAGAAGGGTTACAATTACATGGGCAAGATAGTGAGTATCAACAAATGCTTTTGGGAAAATATCCTCAGACTATCCAGTTGTCTCCAGCTACCTTCTTCTCATGAACTTACAAAAGATCACTTGTCATTTTGGAAATTCCAAGGATTTTAAGAGGTATGTGACATGGTTTGGATGGGAAATATATATATATATATATAATAAAATGTATTATATAATAGATAATATAAATATATTACTATAGATATCCGTTACCTTTCTCAAGTTGTCTCTCCCCACATCCCAATGACAAAAGGAGTTTAGAGGAGACAGACACCAGTGATTCATGAAACAGAAATAGAAATCTTAGCTACTCGGATGCTGAGATCTGAGGAATGCTGTTCAAAGCTAGCCTGAGAAGGAAAGTTCTCAAATTGAACACCAAAAAGCTGGAAGTAGAGCTGTGTACACTAGCCTTGAGCAAAAAACGTCAGACATAGTGCCCAGTCCCTGAGTTCAAGCCGCAAGACTGGCTTACACACACACACACACACACACACACACACACACACACACACAAGTATAGAGGGTAATAAAATATTGGGAATTTTTTAATGTCCTACTAAAAATTGTAAAACAAATGAAATTTTTTTTTAAGTACTATAGAGGCTTGATCGGGTCCTATGGGCAACTGGGGTGAAAAGAAGAGGGCCCTTTGATTTGATTTCCAACTAGTGGTCTATCTATTTTCAGTCCTGGAAATTAATCACCATGTCCTATGCATAGACACACTACTCACACAGAAACTTCAGCAGTTAAGTGGCAGCTACACAGGACAAAATGTATTTGAGTTACCTATAAGAAACAATGACCCAGTGTGCAAAGTGATGACAACTGGTAACTATTTGAAGAATTGTATCCAGAGTCATCATTCTGATGAAAGTTCCAACTATATTTCGTTACTATTGTATTCACTTTTTAAAAGGAGGGACTAAAATGTAGAAGGGAAAAGGATGAAGGAGGAAGAAAAGGAGGGAGGAAAAGGAGCAATGTTTTTTCTAAAGAGTCTAAAGAGATTACATACACTTTTCCAATACTACACATACTAATTTCTAAAAACAAAGCAAATAGAAGAGAATGAAAAGTAAAGGAGCACAGAAGAGAAGTGAGAGGAAGGAAAGAGAGTGTGTGTGTGTGTGTGTGTGTGTGTGTGTGTGTGTGTGTGTGTGTGTGTGTGTGTGTGTGTGTGTGTGTGTGTGTGTAGAGAGGATGGGGGGGGCCGGGGGGCCGGAGAGAAAAAAGAGGCAGACAAAGACAGAGATGGAGATGTTTTCCAAAATGTTAACACCTTTGCTGTGATCTTCAGACACATCCCACTTACGTTCCCCCTAGGACCTAGTTTGTCACCCCGAGGGGCTAGGTTGTCATGTGAAACACTGGAAGGTAGTACATCACTTAGGTCAATTCCTAGTTTTTGGAATGTTTGTTGTTGTTGTTGTTTGGTTGGGTGGTTGGTTTGGGTGGGTTTTTTGTTTTATTGTTATTATAAAGGTAATGTACAGAAGGGTTTATAGTTACACAAGTCAGGTAAAGACTATATTTCTTTTTGGACAATGTGGGGGGGTTTTGCTCATTTGTTTGGAGTTTTTTGGTGAGTCCTGGGACTTGAACTAAGAGTCTGGGCCCTGTCCCTTAACCTCTTTTGTTCAAAGCTAGTGCTCTACCACTTGAGCCACAGCTCCACTTCCAGTAGTATTGGGGGTGGGAGGAGAGATAGTTTATTGGAGATAATTTCACAGACTTTCCTGCTCCAGCTGGCTTTGAACGGTAATCAGATCTCAGCCTCCTGAGTAGCTAGCATTACAGGTGTGAGCCACTGGTACCCAGTTTGGGGGATGTGTTATGGAAACAGCTCATATGCCCTATAATAGATGAGTGGTTCAAAAATGTGGTACATATACACAATAAAATTTTACTCATCCATTAGAAAGAATATATTCTGTCATTTTCAAGGAAAGATGGACCTAGAAATAATCATGTTAAATGAGGCAAGCCATGCCCAAAGAGACAAACAACACGTTTTCCCTCATATGTGAAAGCTAGATTTCTTACTGACAATTTAGTGACTATTGCCCAACTACAGATTGACTTGGTAGGTAAAACCATGCTGATGGCTATAGTAACCAGCTTCAGTTGCTTTCTTGACATTTTTAAGTTAGAACTTGAACTTGTTCAGTTTTCTTTTTACCATTTGAACCATGCCTCTAGCCTTACTTTTGGTAGTTATTTAAGAGATGATATCTAGCAGACTTTTCTTCCCTGGCTGGCTTTGAACAGAGATATTCCAGATTTTAACCTCCTGAACAGCTAGGATTGTAAGCATGAGCCACCAGCACATGGCTTGACTACTTCTTAAAGTAAAAAAGAAAAAAAAAAAAGACATTGAGCCAGTTGTGGTGCCTCATACCTATTATTGCAGCATTTGAGAGAAAGATGGAAAGAAAGAAAGAAACAAAGAGAGAGAGAAAGAAAGAAAGAAAGAGAGAGAGGAAGGAAGGAAGGAAGGAAGGAAGGAAGGAAGGAAGGAAGGAAGGAAGGAAGGAAGGAAGGAGGAAGGAAGAGGACAGACATTAAACAAAGTTACTCTTCTGTCAGGAGCTATATCAGTTGACAAGGCTCCTATGTTTGGAACTAATCTTACTTTCTCCAAAATTCAGTCATCTTATCGTGGCATAGCCACAATCAGTAACAATTGCCCCAGGAAAACTCCAAGTAACTTTGGCAGTAACTCTGATCCCTGAACCCTATTCTTTTAGAGAGAAAGGCAATTTGTATCCTTTATGGGTTTAGGTCATTCTGTACTGATGTTTCGCTGTCTTTTTTAAATCATGTTAGTTGTACAAGGGGTGGTGGTCATTATAGTGACCTGTATCTCTCCTGGAAGCTTCAGCTGCTCTGAACCTTCTAGGAAGGTTGCTCCTGTTGATTTGAGACTGGGAAGATGCCTGTGGTGAGGGTCATAAGGCTACCAAAGGGCCAGTAGCCTCGTGAGAATTGAGGCCTAAGACTTGGGAGGAAGTAGTGTGGGTACTGTGCACTTCAGAGTTAGGGATCTCAGCAGCAAATTTGGATTTACCCGGGTCTTTACTTTGTTCAGACATACCCCAACCCTCTGACAAGGACAAGGACAAGGAAGGCCTCTGTGTCTTGGCGCTCTGGGAGCCGGACATCCCTCCAGTGGAGTCCTAGAGAGGGAAGTGCCTATACTTGTCTTCTTTAGATTTCACGCACATAAACATGCAGTATGTTTCTCTCTGTCTCACTTTTTCACTCACCTTTCAAGTTATCCATGGTGGAAAGAGAGAGAGACAGAAAAACAAAGAGAGATAATTTTCTTAATTCATTCATCAGAAGAAATACACTCCTATTTCTGCAACTGGTATCTATGTGATGTCACTTCCTTTAGCTTAGCTATATACCCAGAAGTAGGATTCCTGGATCACACAGTACTTTTTTTTTTAATTTTTTGAGAAATCTCCATGTTGTTTTCCATAGTAACTATAATTTCCATTCTCCGCAACAGCATAGGTCTTCTCTTTTCTCCAACCTCAGTAATTTCTGATACCTATTGTTCTTTAGTTCACGGCTATCCTAATAGCTGCAAGGTAATATCTCAATGTGGTTTTAACTTACATTTCTCAGATATTGGTGATGTTGGATATTATTTCATATACCTGTTAAAATTTGCATGTCTTCTTCAGGTAGAAGAACTATGTTGAATAGAATGATAGATGTTCTTGCCTTCACTAGATCTGAGAGAGAGAATTGAGCTCCATCTTGTCAAAGTATTGATCTGGAAAAAAAATAGAGATATGTGGACATACTTTCAAACCACCACTAAAAGGCAAACTCCAGACAATTCAATCATGGCAAATATTCTGGGGTGGATAAACTGATTCTAATGTTGTATTGCAAATGATTATCAATAACCATGATACAAATCATGTGGTATTCATGCAAAAGTATACTGACATTATGTAACAGAGTAAGTAACCAGGAAAATGATTAAATAGCCATTTAATAGACATGTTAGTAAGCTTTCCAGTGATAAAATTTTTGAGAAAGACAACTTAAAAAGAGAAAAGTTATTTTGGCTCAATTTCAGAGGCTTCAGTCTAGCTGGCTGGTTTCATTGCTTTCGGCTTAAAGTGAGTTAGAATATCATGGTTCAGGAGGGCATGAAGGAAGATATCGATCATCTCATAGCAGCTAGGAAGAAAGAAAGAAAAGGAGCTGTTTACAAGATATATTTACAGCTGCAGGCATGGTCCCAAAGACTCACTTGCTTCAATGAGATCCCATCTCCTAAACTATCACTCCCAATAGCCCACCAAATTATGAACCTATCCTTGGATAATCCACTAATGAGGTCAGAGCCCTTATAATCCAATCACTTCCCAAAACTACCACTTTTGAACATAGCTACCAATATTTATACATGGACCCTCGGGTGGACATTTAAGATTCAAACCATAGCCAGGTACAGGTGGCTCATACCTGTAATCCCAGCTACTCAGGAGGCTGAGGTCTGAGGATTACAGTTCAAAGCCAGGCCGGACAGGAAAGTCCGTGAAACTCTTATCGCCAATTAACCATCAGAAAACTGGAAATGGTGCTGTGGCTCAAGTGGTAGAGTGCTAGACTTGAGCTGAAGAGCTGAGGGACAGTGCCCAGGCCCAGAGTTCAAGCCCCATGGCTGGCCGAAAAAAAAAAAAAAAAGCCATAATAACATATGGTTTTAAAAAAAGGACATCTGAATTTAGTGAATAAAGGAAATAGGATTTGAAAAGTATAGTGAAGTAATTAGTCACTTAGGGAGAAAAGCCAAATACCCATAGCATAGTATACAACAGAATAAATTCCAGAATGGTAAATAAACCTCATGTAAAATCTTGTTTTATTTGCCTTTGTGGAAAAAAAAATGGTATCTTACTATGTAGCCCAGGCAACACTAATAGTAATCTTCTTGTCTTTATCTTCCAAGTTCTGGGGTTACAGGTATGCATCACCATGCTTGGGAAATTCTATGTAAAAAATGTTAAAGAGAAATCAGCCAGAACAAAATATGGACATGATTTCAGAACAAAATTTCAGAATATGTTTATATCAAAATGGAAAATCACAAAGCAAAATTTCAAATTCAGAATTCCCTAGTGATAAACATATATAAATATATATAATCACTGATGCTCTTCAAACTATTTTCTACAAATACTACAGGAACTGTTGACACAGAACCCAAAAACTTAGAACTTAATCTTAAAATTTAAACCATCTTTAAAGAGCATCAAAATACCTACAAGGCCGGGCGCTGGTGGCTCACACCTGTAATCCTAGCTACTCAGCAGGCTGAGATCTGAGGATCATAGTTCAAAGCCAGCCTGGGCAGGAAAGACCATGAGACTCCTATCTCCAATAAACCTTCAGAAAACCGGAAGTGGCGCTGTAGCTCAAGTGGTAGAGCGCTCGCCTTGAGCTGAAGAGCTGAGGGACAGCACCCAGGCCCAGAGTTCAAGCCTCATGACCAACCAAAAAAAAAACCTACAAATAGCTGTATAACTTATGAAAAGATCAATTAGTGAATATATACAAACAAGATAAATAGCTGCCATTGTAAAACCATCAAGTGGATGAAAGAAAGTAAAAGAAAATGTAAAAGAAAAGAAAGGGGAGGGAGAAAGGAAAGAACGAAAAGCAAAGGAAGGTAAAGAGAAAGAATTGAGGAAGGAATCACAGTTCAAACCCAGTCAAAGCAGGAAAGTCCACGAGACTCTTGTCTCCAATCAACCACCAAAAGGCTAGAAGTGAAGCTGTAGCCCAGGTTATAGAGCCCCTGCCTTGAGCAAAAAAGCTCAGGGGCAGTTCCCAGGCCCTGTGTTCAGGCCCCAGTTCTCTCTCTCTCTCTCCCTCTCTCTCTCTCTTTCTCCCTCTCTCTCTCTTTCTCCCTCTCTCTCTCTCTCTCTCTCTCTCTCTCTCTCACACGCACACACACACACACACACACACACACACACACACACAGAGATGGCACATACCCCCTACACACCAAAGAAAAAATGTACACAAGTACTATACTTGTTTTCTACCATAAGAATTTTAGGGCATGGGTAGAGTTAGGAGTGACAGAATGATGACACTGATCAAAATGCGTTGTACTCACAGACATGTTGAATTTAAACCCCTTACAACCAATTATGATGAGAAAAATGTGCATAAACTTTTAAAGCTAGATGTGCATAATGCTACTTTTTATACAACTGCTATGCTTTTCTTGACTCTTGGTTATGAGTGTAAAGTTTATAAAATGTGTGAGGATGTTTCAGCTACAAGGCAGTATATTAGATGTCCTGGGCTGACTTAACCACAAACCAACAATGGACTCATAACTTGGCATCGCTGTGTTGTCACAGCTGATCTCTATCTTTAGGTAGAGAAATCCTTCAGAAAAAAAAAGAGACTACTCTTTTTTTTTTTGGGGGGGGGGGGTGTCCAGTCGTGGGGCCTGAACTCTGGGCCTGGGTGCTGTCCCTCAGCAGTACAGCTCAAGGCTAGCGCTCTACCACTTGAGCCACAGCACCACTTCCAGCTTTTTTCTTTTTGCTTATGTGGTGCTGAGGAATCGAACCCAGGGCCTCAGGCATGCAAGGCAAGCACTCTACCACTGAGCCACCTTCCCAGCTCCAAGAGACTACTCTTTAAAGGAGACAATGACCCTGATGTATGTTACAGGGCTACTATATGAAATCAGGATTACTATGACTTCACAGATAATGCCCAGAAGATTATCTCGGGATAGTACATAAATTCCAAAATGCAGGGGTTGCCTAGCACTGATGAGCTCACACCTGTAATTCTGTCTATGCAGGAGGCTGATATCTGACAATGGCAGTTCAAAGCCAGCTCAGGCAGAATATGCCTACATACTCCTATCTCCAGTGGACCACCCAAAAGCCAGATGTGAAGCTGTGATCCAAGTGGTAAAGTGCCATCCTTCAGTGAAAAAGTAAAACAGAAGTTTGAGGCCCTGAGTTCAAACCCCAGTAACACACATACACACACATACACACACACACACACACACACACATGTATGTGTATGCACGTGCACACAGTGTTATTATTTCAGCTGATTTTTACAAAACAAAAATGAAATCAATGTCTTCAGCTCAACACATGGAGCAAATTAACTCATTCATGATCATAAACTTTCTGGTTAACTGAACCAAATCTCTTGAAAATGAGATGAAAAACATAAAGAGTGGCCTGCAGATCATAAAATCATCTTCAAAATGATTAAGTCTGTAGGTGATCTAACGGTACCATTGCCTAGTATCGGCTGGAAGCCCCAGTTGATACTAGCCACCAACTGCTAAAAACAGAAAAGTTTTTTTTCATAGAAAACCCACTATGGCTCTTTTATGGAGGATGTAAACCAAACTGGAATGATCCAGTTCCATTTTCACTCATCCTGTAGGTACAAATCACAAGTGAAATGGTATGAACCATTGCATTCTTATGAGCCAGTGAGGTAGAGTGGTTTTGTTCATTTCGGACATTTCTGTTTGATCATTTAGGACTAAGTGCAAAGACACATGTTACAGTGAGAATAATATACAAAGCAAGAACTATATAGTTCCTTATTGGGAAGGGGTCCAGGAGGGAAGGCATCATTATGTTTTCCTGGGCTGCCTAAGTGACATGGGAATCAATCATTCCTCTAACCACCAGGAACTAAGCAGGGTTCAAGGGCATAATGGAAACAATGGCAGTGAAAGTTCCCCTTTCTCTTGCCAGTTCAGCAGCTAATACAGGAACAAAATTACTTTTCACTCATCTCCCAATGCCATGACCTATCCTGGAAAACCACTATATTCCTGACCTCTAAATGACATTCAGCCAAATAACACAGGAAGGAGTCTCTATACCTCATTCCTACTGCCAAGCCTGTGCTACCTCTTCTATGGCTCTGTGCAGTACGGATCTGTATGTTTTCCCACTCCATTACTGCTATCTTTCTAGTCTGTCGTTAGTTCACCTAGGTACAGCTTCCATTTTTGAAACTTCAAAAACCTTCTTCTCATTATACACTACCAAAATTCACCTTAAATGAAATCCCAATGATTCATTCCATACCACAAGTAGTAGGCTGAAAAATAGCTCCCCAAAGATGTCCTAATTCCTAGAACTTAATGAATATGTTACTTTACATCATAAAAGGATTTTGAAGACGTGATTTAAGGATATTGAAATAGAAGGCTTATCTTGGGTTATTCTGGTGCACCTAATGTTATCATAGGATCCTTTATGTTTGTCTGGTTGTAGTTGTAGCAGTAGTAGTTGTTACTGTTGTTGTAAACAGTCTTACTCTATAGGCTAGGATGACCTGGAACTCATGATCCTCCTACCTCAGATCCTGAGTGCAGGAATAACAGACATATGTGTCCACACCTAGCTTTCATAGGATTTTTTTTTCCTTTTGTGCTGGTACCGGGGCTTGAACTCCAAGCCTTTTACTCAGCTTTTTCACCCATACCTGGTGCTCTACCACTTGAGCCATACCTATAATCCAGCAGTTTGCTGGTTAACTAGAGATAAGTCTTGAGACTTTTTTCTGTCCAGGCTGGCTTCAAATCACTATCCCCAGATCTCAGCCTCCTGAGTAGCTAGGATTATAGATGGGACCCGGGGCACCTGGCTTTTTCAGAAGAGTGGGTAAGAAAATGTGACAATAAGGAAGGGAGAGGGAGGCAGGCAGGCAGGCAGGCAGGCAGGCAGGCAGGCAGGCAGGCAGGCAGGCAGGCAGGCAGACAGACAGACAGACAGACAGACAGACAGACATGCTGGGCTTTGAGAATGGAAGATAGGACAACATACCTTCTTGAAAGGTAAAAAAGAGGGGCTGGGAAGGTGGCTCAGTGGTAGAGTGGCTCAGGCCGTGCATGCCTGAGACCCTGGGTTCGATTGCTCAGCACCACATAAGCAAAAAGAAAAAAAGCCAGAAGTGGCACTGTGGCTCAAGTGGTAGAGTGCTAGCCTTGAGCTGAAGAGCTGAGGGACAGCGCCCAGGCCCAGAGTTCAGGCTCCACGACCGGACCCAAAAAAAAAAGAAAGGTAAAAAAGAAAAACACCATCAAAGCTAACCACAAAAAACAAAGACAAAAACAAAAATCCCCAAGCTTCCAGAAGAACATGGTACTACGGTCTACTTTAAGCTTCTCACCTCTAGCCCTAGCAGAGAATAAATCTTTGATGCTTTCAGACACTAAGCTTATAGAAATTTGTTACGGCAGCAAAAGAGATCAAACAGTCCATACATTAGAACTTTAACTCATCCCTAAAGAACTACTTAGGCCATACTCATGACTTTTTACATAATACATTCTCAACCTGTGTAAGAGATTCTTCAGAAATACATATGAAATACCTGGAAAATATTTAATATAAATAATAGCTTCTCAAAATAAAATTTTCCCAAAATTAAAATATTCTTTTATTTTCAATAAATCATGAGTAACAAAGATTTGTGTATCTCATTGAGCAAGCTCAGCAAGACAATGAAGCCAAATCAAAAGACTAAAGCAGGAACTATGAAGGCGGCCAGGCACTGTGGCTCTTGCCTCTAATCTCATCTACTCTGGAGGCAGATATGGAGATGATTGGGGTCCAAGGCCAGCCCTGGCAAACAGCTGGGTATGTTGACACACACCTGTCATTCCAGATATATGGGAAGCCTACGTATGAGGATTATGGTCCAGGCTGCCCAAGAAAACAAAAAAAGGCAAAAAGGGCTGAGGGTATAGTCTAATTGTCTCTGGAAATTCCCTGGCAGATACTCCTGTAACTGTACTTTGTTCATCTCCTGGGTATTTATTAATCCAGTCAAACTGACAACCATCAGCTCTGTGGTTTTTCAGTGGCTCTGTGTCAGTTTGGTTTTGCTTGCTTGTTTTGGCAGTGGTAGGGTTTGAACTCAGGGCCTCATGCATGTAACACAGGAGCTCTACCACCTGAGCCATGGCACATGTGCTTTCCACATGTGGAAAAAAGAAAAAGAATGTGTAGTCAGAACCTATGGTTGGTTATTTCCAACTGGAGAGAGCAGACAAGGAAAAGAAGCGGCATAAAGCTTGAATAGTGTAAGTGCCTTTTCCCCCTTCCTCTCTTCATCAACTCTCCTTTAACACTTACCCCCGCCCTGCAACCTTGAAGTACCAGTTTTCTGATCCTTAAAAAAAACACTCAATCTCCCTCCCAAAAATATTGTATCAGAAGGGAATTTGTTTTATACTGCCTATTACACTTTGTTTTATGTTTATGTCTGCTCTGCAATGATTCCTTATACTTCCCCCAAGCTTATTTTCTAATTCATTTGTTTTTTGTGGCTTTTTTGCCACTCCTGGGACTTGAACTCTGAGCCTGGGAGCTGTCCCTGAGTTTCTGTTTTCAAAGGTAGAGTTCTACTATTTGAGCCACAGCTCTGCTTCCAACTTTTTTCTGTGATTAATTACAGATAAGAGTCTCATGGAGTTTCCTGCCTGGGCTGGCTTCAAACCTCAATCCTCAGATCTCAAACTCCTGAGTACCCAGGATGACAGGTGTGAGCCATTGGCACCTGGCTTTATAACTCATTTATATACAGTAGTACTGACTTTGATATAAACTGCTCTAGGTATATTAGTCTTGATACATTAAAATGTTGATCATTCAGTTCAAAATATTTTCTGCTTTCCACTGTTCTCTTAATTTGATTGCTTTTGGGATAAAACATTGGATGGTGGGGGTTGGGAAGGTGGCTCAGTGGTAGAGCGCTTGCCTTGCATGGCTGAGTTCAATTCCTGGGTTCAATTCCTCAGCACCACATAAGCAAAAAAAAAAAAAAAAAAGCTGGAAGTGGCGCTGTGGCTCAAGTGGTAGAGTGCTAGCCTTGAGCTGAAGAGCTGAGGGACAGCGCCCAGGCCCTAGCCTTGAGCTGAAGAGCTGAGGGACAGTGCCCAGGCCCAGAATTCAGGCCCCACGACCAGACCCAAAAATAAAAAATAAAATAAAAAAACATTGGATGGTGATTTTCAATTTCTGAAAAATATGAAATTGTTTCTTAAATGACTAACACATATTAGTTATACAAGGTAGGATTGTGACATTTCCATAAATGCATACAATGTATCTCAATAAACTCCCTCACTCCCTTACTTCTCTCCCCATTTCAAAGACCATCTTAATAGGTTTTATTGTTCTATTTTCATCCATCCAAATAAACTACTTCAACTATATTCCTCATCATTCACCTTCTACACTCCTGTTATACTTTCCTTTCATTCATTGTTTTTCAGTGTGTATTGTCAACTATAGTAAGCGCAGTATTTCAGATGCGCTTGTATTGTGTGTGTATGTGCGCGTGCACAGATACTTGGGCTTGAACTCAGGGCCTGGATACTCCCTGAGCTTTTCTCCTCAAGGCTAGCACTTTACCACTTGAGCCACTGCTCCACTTTATCTTTTTGGGTGTAAACTGAAGATGAGAGTCTCACAGACTTATCTGCCTGGGCTGGTTTTGAACCGAGATCCTCCTCAATAGCTAGGATTACAGGTATGAGCCACCAGTGCTTAGCTGTCCCTGAGGTTTTTAGCTCAAGGTCAGCACTCCATTACTTGAGCCACATTCCAACTTTTTGATGGTCAATAAGAGTCTCACAAACTTTTCTACCCAGACTGGCTTTGAACCTCAATCCTCAGACCTCAGCCTCCTGAGTAGATAAAAATACAGGCATGGGCCACGGGTACCTGGCCCAGTATGTTTTTATCAGAATAACCCCCTCTATTACCTTGTCTTTTCCTGCTCCCCAACTGCTCTGAAATTCCCTATGGCGTGTCACATCTGGCTGTAATGAATTTTTTCTTCATTCCTCTCACCTTCCTCCCATAGCTAAAATCATATTTTATGTATTTATTTGACTGATTACTTCTAACATAATGATCAGAAAATATGGCTCAACCGGTTGAGCCAATTCTTCCTGTGAAGGGCCAGATACTAAGTATTTCTCACACTTAGCAAGCTACTAATTTGTAATTACCAACTCTTGTCTTTTAATACATGAGGGCATCTTGGCAACCTGAAAAATTAAGAAACATTTAAGAGATAAGCAACACACTCCTCTAGAAACCTAATTAGATAGGGCTCTGGCCTAGTCAACAGATGAGGGCTTCATTAGAAGGTGGGAAAAGCCTGAGTACCTATGCATGTTTATACCACTACTACCACTCAGGAGACAGAGATTGAAGATCACAGTTCAAAGCCAGCCCAGGCGCAAAAGTCCATGAGACTAACCACCCAAAAAAAGTTGGAAGTGGAGCTGTGGCTCAAGGGCAACACCCAGACCCTGAGTTCAAGCCCTAGGACCAGAATCATAAAAATTAAAACAGGAAGTGGGAAAAGGTCAGGAGGCGGAGCCTAGTGGGAGGAAGTAGGTCACTGAGGGTGTGGCTTTGGGGGCTATTTATTGCCCCAGCCTCTCCCTGCATTTACTTTTTGCTCTGCTTCTAGTTGTCTTTGGGGTGAAGAACTGCCTCCACTGCACTGTCCTCCCCACTGCCCCCCAGGAAAATCTATCCCAGCACGAGACCACGCACGGACTGAGCCCTCTGAAACTGTAAGTTTTAATACACATCTTTCCTTCTTTTCAGTTCTCTCCGGTACTTTGGTCACAGAGATGCAAAAGTAACTTAATACATAGCAACCAAACACAATGTGTAAATAAACCGTGAATATATTGCCTTATAAAAATAGATGGCTGGGCCAGATGCACCTGTGGGCCATGGTTTGTCAACTCCTGGTCTACAAGACATTAATACTTAGGTGATGGTTAAAAAAAAAACGTTGAGGATGCCACCCAGCACCTGACTCGGCCTGAGCACTGTCCCTGAGCTCTTCAGCTCAAGGCTAGTGCTCTCCCGCTGGAGCCACAGCTTCATTTCCGGTTTTCTGCTGGTTCACTGGAGATAAGATAAGCTGGCTTTGAACTGTGAAATTCAGATCTCAGCCTCCTGAGTGGCTAGGATTACAGGCGTGAGTCACTGGCGCCCCGCTCTGATATTTCTTATATTGCACACATACTTGAAAAATAATCATCTCATCCCTGACCTGCTCCATTCTTTAAAGCTGAAGACTGAACCACGCAATTATTAGCTTTTTGTACTTTGTCACTGTGATTAAGAGATTGGGTTTTAGAAAGTCCTGTCAACTTCGCCATTTGCCATTGACTTAAAGCAAATTATTTAAGGTGTCCAACACTCAGGTTCCTCTTCTATAAACTGGAGAAAGTATTAGTGCCTACCTCTCCGGGTGAGTTGTAAGGAATGATTTAGCTTGCAATCATTACCATCATTATTAGCAGCAATATCTCCGAATCACTCTGTTCCATGAGGCAGATGTAACTACGCCCACTTTCCCAAAGACACTAAGTCCCAGTGACCTAGCGGATGCCTCACTACCAGTGGACAACCCACTGCTTGCCATCCAGACTTTCTATTTTCAAATCCTGCGTTTCCACTACGCAAGCCCTGATGAATGCACTCACACTGACACGTGAGGAATTTACAGTATGCCGTTCTTAGGCGAGGCTGCATTTTTCACACACGGGGGGGGGGGGGGGAGGGGGGGGGAGAGAAGGGGTAGTGGAACTCCTAAGAATAACTTCTTGGAGGTGGGGAGGGGAAGAATACAGTCACTGTCCTCAAGGCATATAGCTATGCCAGGGGCTGAGATGGAGGGGGGGGATGGGAATGATTTTTTTAAAAAGGGGGGGGGGGGTGCTACTGATCCAGATGCACTGAATTCAAAGTGGCATGTTGAATGGCCTCATTACAACTAAAGATAACTAAAAAGGTCAGAAAATTAAGGAAAAATAAAAGGAATACTTTCTGCTTGCACAATTTAAAAGGGAGAGAAGAGGAATGGAGAGAAAAGGGAAGAGAAGAGAAGGGAGAGAAGAGAGGGAAGAGAGGGAGGAAGGAGGCTGGAGGGGGTGAGGGGGGGGGTTCAGTGGGGTCAAACCCGCTTGGGAGGACGCGCGATGTTCCAGGAGGTGACCCACCACCAGAACTTCAGCCACTGGGGTGTAGAGGTTGGCACCCCGGGGCAAAGTCACGGTACAAAGGTGGGGTCACGCGGGGGCGCACCCCGGCTGAGGTCCCCGCCCAGCCCGGGCCTCGGGGCGCCGGGGGCCTAAAAATACCTCCCGGCCCGGGCCTTCGGGTTAGCACCGAACACAGCACGAAGCGGGCTGGGCGCGGCTGGGAGGCGGGTGAGTCACAGCCCCGCCGGGCCGGGCCCGGGGCGGAACAGCGGCCACCTGCCCCGGTCCCGGCGCGGTCACCTGCCACCCGACGCAGGCTGCGCCCGACGTGGGATGTGTGTGCTTTCCCCGCCAGGAGCCTCGGGTGCCGACCCCCCCCCCCCCCCCGGTACCACGGACAGCAGTGCGGGACGTGAGCGCCAGAGAGGAAACAACCCCGAGAGCCGCCCAGGGCTCCCGCGCCCGGCTCAGCCCGGACCCCGCAGCGCACCGCGTGGGACCGGCCCCGGGCTTCTCCCCGCCCCGGCGATGACGGAGAACTCGTGACTGGCCGGGCGACTCGCAGCCCGGCGCCCGGCGGGCGGCGGGCGGAGGGCGGAGGGAGCAGCCGGAAGGCGGAGCTGCGAGGTTCCCGGAGCCGGGACGCCTCCCGCGCCCGCCCCCTCCCCACCACCCGCGGGCGCGCATGCGCCGTCGCTCTCCACGGGACCTCCTTCTCGCCGCGGACTCTAGGAAGCCGCACGCCAAATCTGTCCCCCGCGCAGCCTCCGCTGCTGTCCTTGCCGCCGCCGCCGTCGTCAGGCGCCAAACGGGACGGCCGCCCTCCCCGAACTGCGCCTGCGCACGTTCCCACGCACGCTCCGGCGTACGGCGGCGGCCAGGGGTCGCGAGCCGGTGGAGGACCCGCGCGCGCCGAGGAGACCGGAGCGTCGGCGCTTCTCCCCTCCCTCCCCCCCGCTCCCCTCCCCGCTCCCTCCCCCCTTCCCCAAGAATGTTCCGCTACGAGGTGAGTGTGGCGACCGGAAGTGGCCCCTCCCTCCCTCCTCACGCGCCCCTTTGCCTCTCCTGCCCGCGGGCGCGCCGGTCCCGTGCTCCGGGCGTGCGTGGGGTGGGGGGGGGGGAGCGGTACGGAGAGAGGCCGGGGCCCGTGGGAACCGGGGGAGCGCGGGGGGCGACGCCGGCCTGGGGCTGACGGTCCGCGGAGCCGGCGAGCGGTCTGCAGGTGGCGGGACCGCCGGGCGGAGCGGCTGTGGCTGGGGAAAGTTGGCCTCGGTGTTGGGGTGCGCGGGGCCCGTTAAGTGCCACGGTCCGGCCACACACCGCACCACGCCCTCCCTCGGAGCGGGGCCGGCCGGCCCGCGGCCGACGCGGGCTCCTGCCCGGTGGCGTTCCTTGAGGGAGACCTTACCTGGATGCCCGTCGCTCCGTTTCCCGCCCAGTGCCCGGACACCCCCTCCCCAGCTCCCCGCGCACGCCCACGCGCACGCCCACACACCCAGGAGGCCTGCGGGGTGGGCTGGGGTGTCCTTTGACTCTCGGGCTAGACGGCTGGCGAGCTGAAGGGTTGGGAGGGGGCGTGTCCAGGAGAAGTTCCTTCAGGACCAGGGAAGATGTGAGGGGTTTTTTTTGGGGTGCTGTCCTTGGGAAGGCAGCGGGTTCTTGACCCTGTCACCGAGACTCTGTGACCTTGAGTGACGCTGAATCTCTGAACGTGAAAGTTTTCTCCGTTGGCAAAATCATTAGGGACGGCTCTCGGTTTATCCCTGAGTCATTTCAGGCTTTTGGGTTTGGTTTTGAGAGCAGTGATTTGGTTAGGTAGATCTTTATGGTTTGGAAGAGTATAAGGCTGCTAGTGGCCTCTGATTTAGGGACCAGTCCCACGTCTGCTTTCTGTTAGCATGAGAGATTGGTAGGATGGGTAGAAAGGCTCTAGCCAGGCAAGGTCTATCACAAACCAGTCCATACTAAGAGTGTGGAATTAGGACTTTTATACATGATAGCTGAGCCGCTACCATAATGTCTAGTAAGTGGGGAGAAAGAACGATGAGATACAGTGGGAAGAAGTTGTTGAGAGAAAAGAATACTTGGAAGAATAAGTCAATTAATAAAAAATAAGGTGGAGGAGGGAAATGTTTAAAATACACAAACCTGTAATTCCAGCACTGTGGAGGCTGAGGTAGCAGTCATGAGTTCAAGGCCAGCCTTGGCTACATGCTCAGACACTGTACCTGAAAATAAAGTAGAACACACTTAAGATGTTTATATTCAGCTGTCTACAATCTTTGACTTGTTTAATCCTCACAACAAACTGAATTAAGTGATGTGTACCACTGAAATACGATTTAAGAAACTGAGGACCAGAGCCTAACATAGTACAAGCCTCCAGACACAACAGATCTTCAAAAGGCACTGATCAGTTAATCAAGAAAATTGATTGTGCTGGGCCCAGGTGGCTCATACCTCTAAATCTGGCTACTCCAGAGGCTGAGATTAAGGAAAGCAGTTTGAAGCCAGCCTGGGTAGGAAAGTATGTGAAACTCTTACTCCCGTTACCAAAAAAGCCAGAAGTGGAACTGTGTGTGGCTTTAGTGGTAGAGCTCCAGCCTTGAACACAAATGCTCAAGGACAATTCCCAGGCCCTAGTTCAAGCCCCAGGACTGGCACACACACACACACACACACACACACACACACACACACACACACACACACACACACACACACACACACGAGTTACCCATGTTTACAATACTTGTAAGAGTGGAGCTTGATGTATCAGAGCTCTTCCCACATAAGTGGTAGAGAACTTAGCTTTCAGTGAGAGTTTAGAACTACAAGAAACAGAAGGGGAGACAGAAAGTTAAGAGAAAGCATTAAAATGTAAGGAGGCAAGTATGAGTTTTGTTGAGAAAGTTACATGAAACACAAGCAAGATAACAGTGTTCCTTTTTTACTTGTAATCAGTATTCCAGCCAGCGGTGGGAAGAATGTGTGTGCCTAATTTAATGAGTGCATGACGATATGCTATTGTTGGATTTTTATTAAATAGGGAAACTGGACATGTTTTAGAAGTGGAGGATAAAATAAATGAAACAAGGAATAGAAAATAGAAACAGAAAGAAGATAGTGAAATCTCCCAACTGCCAGGAAAATTGGATAGGAAAAAAAAAATCTTACCAGGTGCTGGTAGCTCACGCCTGTAATTCTAGCTCTTCAGGAAGCTGAGATGATGATCAAGGTTCAAAGTCAGCCCTGGGAGGAAGGTCCCTGAGACTCTTTATCTCCAATTAACCACCAGGAAACCAGAAGTGACACTGTGGCTCAAAGTAGTAGAGCAGTAGCCTTGAGCAGAAAAACACAGGGACAGTGCCCAGGCCCTGAGTTCAAGCCCCATGACCAACAAAAACAAAAAGCTTACCTTTACAAAGGCAAGGTAGACATTTTTAGGCCTTTGAAAATGAGCATATAAGTTTGATGAAAAGCTCAATTCCTTTCTCTTTGTTCAGTCTCTGGAAGATTGTCCTCTGGATGAAGATGATGATGCATTTCAAGGCCTGGGAGAGGAAGATGAGGAGATTGATCAATTCAATGATGATACATTTGGGTCAGGTGCAGTTGGTAAGTGACTTCTTTCATGGTATCACCTTGCTTTGCTAGGGGTAACACCATAATCTTCTTAATAGAACAGTGAGTGCATCCTTCAGTCAGAATAGTTCATCTTGCTGATCTTTTTTTTTTTTTGAGTCCAGTCTTGGGCCTGAACTCTGGGCCTGGGCGCTGTCCCTCAGCTCTTCAGCTCAAGGCTAGCACTCTACCACTTGAGCCACAGCGCCACTTCTGGCTTTTTTCTTTTTGCTTATGTGGTGCTGAGGAATTGAACCCAGGGCCTCATGCATGCAAGGCAAGCGCTCTACCACTGAGCCACCTTCCCAGCCCCTTGCTGATCTTTTTGTCTCACCTATAAAAACAGGTATTCTTTAAGCCTTGTCTCATCCTGCTATATGACTTTGTGGTTCCTGGTTGCCATTATAAGAAATTCAAATGTTTGGAGAAGTAGAATTCAAATGTTTGGAGAAGTAGACATTTAACAGAGTTTTAAAATAATCTAGATGAGGGAAATTTTGTTTGCAAGACATGCAATGTAAGGGAAACTAAGGAATTAGAAGACAAATCAGATTCTAGTATGTAGATGTATTTTTAATTTTTTTACTGTTACAAAGGTACAGAGTATAGTCACTGAATGTATAACCATTTCTATTGTCTTATCTACATTAGCTTTTTAAAAAGGCTTTTTTATTCCAAGTATATTGGTGATAGTCTTTATAAGTTAGGGAAGTATTGTGCACAAATGGAAATTTTTTCCACTCCTACATATAAATATTGCAGGAATTGAAAATATAAAAGAGCCAAACTAAACTTATAGCCATGGAGTTGTAAAGCCCAAGACCAAAAATTTAGGAAGCCATCTTATGTAATCAGTTTGAGAACAAGCTTTAGAAGAAGTTTAAAGCAAGTGAAGTATTAGCGTAAGTTTTGTACTTTTAAAAAATGAAGAGTAGGGGAAACAAAGGAGGAGGCAACAATGTTCGATAAGAAATGTACTCATAGCCGGGCAATGGTGGCTCACATCTGTAATCCTAGCTACTCAGGAGGCTGAGATCTGAGGATCGCGGTTCAAAGCCAGCCTAGGCAGGAAAATCCGTGAGACTCTTATCTCCAATAAAAACCACTAGAAAACTGGAAGTGGCACTGTGGCTTAAGCGGTAGAGCACTCACCTTGAGCTAAAGAGCACAGGCACAGCACCCAAGCATGTAGTTCAAGCCCCACGAATAACCAAAAAAAAAAGAAATGTATTCATTACCTTACCCATGTAATTGTAACCCCTCTGTATGGTATTTTCACAATAAAAAAAAATGAAGAGTATACATATATAAATATCTGCATAAAGTCAGTGGAGATATTCTTGCTTTAGCTGTCAGATTTTTGAAAGCAACAATAGTGCTTACGTTGAGGTGTGTTAATATGTGTGATTTCTTTGGAACTGCAGCACTTTTGTCCAAATGTTCCAAGTTTAATAAAGGAGAAGAAATTTAGCAGTAGTGGGTAATCCCAAGATGTTCTATGTCAAGACCAAATAAAAGTCTTAAAATGTCATAAAGGATAGTGGTTTTCAACAACTTAAGTTTATGGTAAAAATTGCAGAGTTGAATGAGCTGACAAAAATGAAAAAAGTTTACTGTTGTTAGCCATTTACAAAATTCACTACAGAACTAAAACTTTGCAGCAAGAGAAATGTTGAAAGTAGAAGCAAGACTCACTAGAGAAGGGAGTTAAGACCTTTTGGAATATAGCCATGGGTTAGGAGATGAGGTTGTCCAGGAGCATGGCATGAGAAAATACTATTTGTCTTTCTTCATGGAGATCACAGGGAAAGCTGCATAAACTAGAATTACAAACACATGGAACTTCTGTGCATGCAAATTGTACTTAAAGAAGATAGTTCAGTAATAACCTATTGAATAAAATAGAAGCTACCAGCACTGTGTACTTGTTTCTAGATCTTTCTGTTAAAATGCTGTAGAGAATGTCATTTTCAACAAATTTTTTAGTATTTGAGTAAAGTTAGTGAAACTGATTTATAGATAATAAACTAAGATATAGACAGCATAGCTGCCCTCAGTTTTGATTCTGGACAGAAGAGATCTTGCCTTCTCATTCAAGTCTTAAGTTCTGTGGGAAGTCTCCCTGTTCACCCAACGTTCCTTTTTTTTCCCCTACAA